CTTCCAATCTTAAAAAAAAAAAAAAAAAAAGTCCCTCTAGAGCTTTCTGCCTTTCATTCCCCATCATTTGTCATTAGAACCACAGGGCCTCCGTTACTTTGATTTGATCACTCCTGGCTCCCGGAAGAGGAAAGCAGCATAAAGTCCACCTGGTCTCTTTTCTACAACATACATGTGCGCTCTGAATGCTGTGGTTTGTCCACTTCCCCTGTGTAAGTTGAGCTTTCAAGATAGGTCCCTGTCCCAGCGGGGTAGCATCCCGAGCAGCCACATATTCGTTAAGTTTCCTTCCTTGATCTATTACTGGAAACAACCTAATATGGTCAGCAGCAGCGTGCCTGGGGTATTTTTCCTGTGTTTTGATGAATTGATCCCTCCTGACCCTGAGAAAAACATTCATTTTTCTTTAACTGGAAGAGTGTGTCCAAAGAGGACACAAGAAGGTCTTGTCTGAAAAAAAGCAATGGTTTTGATACAAGGCACTTTGCTTGGGATTCAGTTTGCTGTTCTGTCCAGGGATGGCAAGGCTCTCCTCAGTTCTGCATGGAAGACCAATCCCAAGTCACCTCACTGGGCCACATGACCAACTCTATTCCTTTTTCTGAAACTAGCACTTTTGGCTGAAGTACCTGGGAAGAGCTGCATGAAGTTTGAAGACCATTTTACGCTAGCTTTGGACCCAGCCTTACCCCAGGTGAAGTCACTGGAAGTTGTACTGTTGACTTTCATGTGAGCAGGACATTTTTCTCTGAATTCACCACAGGTGAAGGATTTCTAGAACACCTTTACTTAGTAGAGCTGCTACAGACACCGTGTTGAATAAGTGCAAAGCAATGGCCAAAAGAAAGGGAAATACTGGAGCTGTTGTACCAATTACTGCACAGTAATTGGTTCTAATCAAGAGTAAATTTGCTACCTGCAAATACAAGTAGCAAATTTACTTGAGATTACTTTCTGAGCAGTACTGCTTCTGTATACAGTACAGGCTGGGGGCCTTCTGCAGAGCTGCTGCCCAGCCAGCCAAGGACCTGGGAGTTACAGTGGACAATAAGTTGAATGTGAACCAGCATTGTGCCCTTGTTCCCAAGATGGCTAACGGCGTACTGGGCTGCGTGGTAGGTGTGTTGCCAGTAGGTCGAGGGAAGTGATTCTTCTCCTCTATTCAGCACTGGGGAGGCCACATCTAGAGTCCTGTGTCCAGTTTTGGGCCCTGCACTACAGAAAGGATGTGGACAAATTGGAGAGAGTCCAGTGGGGGGGTGACAAAAATGTTTCGGGGGCTGGGGGACATGACTTATGAGGAAAGTCTGAGGGAACTGGGCTTATTTATTCTAGAGAAGAGGAGACTGAGAGGGGATTTAATAGAAGCCTTCAACTGTTCTCAGTGATGGCAGAGGACAGAACAAGGAGCAATGGGCTCAAGTTGCAGCAAGGGAAGTTTACATTAGATATTAGGAAGAATTTTCTCACTAGAGGGTGGTGAAACACTGGAACAGGCTTCTGAGAGAGGTGCTGGACTCTCCATCCTTGGAGGTTTTTAAGACCCGGCTAGACAAAGCCTTGGCTGGGATGATCTAGCTGGGGCTGGTCCTTCTTTGAGCATGGGGTTGGACTAGATGTGACCTCCTGAGGTCCCTTCCCACCCTCATTTTCTATGATTCTGTGATTCTATGTTGGCCACACCTGGCAAATCTCCAGTAAACCTCATGGCACCATATGATTGGGTATCTCCATTGATACTACAAAATCCCTTTTAGATACTCAGCCTGTATCACTGACTAAAGTGACTCTATTTTGAAGGAACAGAAGACAGAGAAACATACATAAATGAGATATTTACTCAGTAAAATTAGCAGCAATTTTTTTCTTTTGGAAAACAAAAATGGAGATGTAACCCTCTCCAGTATTAGAAGGGATAAAACCTCTGAATAATATCTTTCTATTTATAGCACACAGTTGTCCAACTTATATCTGTATCTCCCTGCAATAGGCCAGTCTTTCCACTAGCATAAGATGATTTAACAGGTGTATCCTAGCTTGCTAGTGAAAAAGGACCTTGCTTGATTATGGAATGATAGTATACAATGCTCAATACTGTATCTAAGCCATCAGCAGGGTTCAAACTAGGAGCCTATAGTATTAATATCATAAGCCTCTAACCTCTAGAACTGGAGAGCTGTTCAAGAGGTTAGCTGTACCATTAACATTAACTGTTAGCTGTACCAGACTTGTATCCTCCAATACAGGTTTTTGTGTCTAGCCCATATTTTCTTAGTCAAGGCTCACTCCCAGTAAGCCTACTGGAGAGCAGGAGCGAACTGATAAAGGGCAATAATCCATAGGCCATGCATATGATTTAGAAACCTCACGAGGAGAAGAAAATGAAGAAGTAGCTTCTTCCCATGAGGAGGCCAAAGGAAATGATTGACTTAAAAGCTTCCCATTTCAGGATATTCTTCTGGAACTATCCCTATTCCCTCCAAGGACTTTTTTTTCAGGGAGCATGGGCGTTTGCTGCAGAGTTTGAGATAGATGTGTTAACTCTTCCCCTTTGGACTTTCTAGCAGCCTCTCTAGACTCTGCAGCCTCAGGGGAAAGAGTCCGACGGGACTGCTCTATTTTCTGATTCACAGGGACTGGCAACAAAAACAAACTACATTAAAATAACATCCTTCACAGCA